CAAATTGGCAGCGGATCTATTGTGTGATTAGAGTTTCCTGTCGGTCGGAAGACATGGGTAGGAGCATGAAGTAGGAGGGCGCCAGAAAGCGACTTGGTGTCAGCTTGGCACCTAAGGAGGAGGGACGAGGGACCACATTTCCATTCTTGAAGCAGCACGGCGCCTGAAGCAGATTGCAACCTGGAAATCCAAGACATATCGGGTGTTGGTAGAAGTGCCCCTGGCCCACAGTGCCCCCAGGATTTCCAGGGAGGCCCCCACGGCCTCCGGAGTACTCCAAATCCCTTATGAATCGTCCCCCGGGTCCGCTTCTTTAAGGCGCCTTTTTGGTCATGAAGGGGGTCCGGTTTATTAGGTCGCTTTCTTTGGATTGGAGCTGAGGGGGTCTGGTTTACTGAGGCGCCCCATCGAAGAGGGGGTCCGGAATAGTAGGTCGCATTTGGAGGGGGGTGCGGTTTTTTAGGGGGGGGTCGATAAATAAGGGATTTGGAGTACCCCTCACGAGGCCCAGAGGGCTGCAGGGGCTCCAGAGTGGAGCGAGAAGCTGGGGGCACCCGGGGGCCAGGGGTACCTGCAGCGACTCCCGAGAGCACCGACACTCCACGGCGGGCGACCAGAAGAGCCCTGCCCGCGCCGCCCCCCCCCCATTGGAATGACGAACGGACAACACACACACATACCCGTATAGGGGGGCCGGTGGGAGGAGGACTTGTTGTGCGTATGGGTGCGGGTTTTCGGACCGCGGGGGAGGCTCCCGTTCGAGCGGGGACCCCCATCCGACAACACGAACACGCACCCAGAACCCCCTCCGTCCTCCCTATGGGTATGGGTGCGGGTTGTTAGTTCGTCATTGGAACGCAACGCTGGAACAGCCCGCGAGCACAACAGACCGCCTGAGATGTTACGGGATACTTCTAGTGTCTCGGAAACCGCACCCGGCGGCGCGACCACCACGGCCTCCCTCCTCCCCCTCTCGGGGGCAACAGCAGGGGGGACTTGCAAATGAACGTTCTTCTGTTCGGGGTTTTGACATCGGGCGGAAGGGGAGGACGCAGAGGGGGGTGTCAGGCTCCGGACCTCTGCTTAGCGCGACTGTCTGCAACATTGCGTCATGTGGGGGAAGCTCCACCTGCTCGAAACAGGCGCCAAACAGACAAAGTCTACTCCATGGGAGGGGGAGGAGGTACGAGGGCCCGCGCCGATCGGCAGAACAATGAATTATTTTGCTTCGAGCGATCCCCACCGAAACCTTAAGCGAGTGCTCCCGACGGCGCGCGGTCGCCGAATTAAGCGACAACTGCCATTTCTGGATTCAAAAACGGTTCAACCGTGTTCCATGTAGTCACGCTCGTTCATGTAATGCTCTAGTATGTCCTGTTCTATTATCGACGGGCCGACGTGACATCGTCACGCCTGTGACGTACGACGCGTCGTACGCTCCGATGTTCCTTTTGGCATAGATAAGTCTCTTCTGATTCGGAATGCTGTGTCATGATTATCTGTGTCAACACACGATGTGGGAGGTTATGGTATGATATGCCCTGCGGCACCATGTTATGACAATCTATGGTCGGCCACAGTAGGATACCGTATGCTCTGCTTTGCTATGCTGTTCGGAGCTCGGTTCGCAACAAATGTATAATATGGTGTGATGTGCTGTTACTATGATGAAGTCATGGTGCGATATGATATGCTATGCCACAGTGTGTTATGTTATGATCGTCTCTGTTTTGTGATGTTGAGTTCTTAACACGCATGTCATGTTATGCTGTGGTATGTTATGTGATGTTTTGTCTGTTGACGGCTCGCCTTGTGCTCTGCTCTACCATAACGTGTCGATGTGCTCTGCTGTCGTGTAATGGTATGTCACGTAACGCTTTGTCATGATGTAACATTTTATGTCGAGGGTTGTTGTGTTATGCTCGGTTATGTTATGTTATGGTATGGCGTGTTATGTCTTCATCGCTGGCCTGCTCCCCTGTGGTATGTTATGTGATGTGTTGACGGCCCGGCTCTGCATAAAACAGTGTGATACGATCTGATCGTAGATGTCACTATGCTGTCGTCGTGTTATGCTGTGTTATGTTTTGG